GCTTGATCCTTCTCTTCATAAAAATATCGTCAACAATTATATTTGCAAAGAGACTAACATCACCATTGAAATTTGAAAGTATATTGTAAATGTTGTTCACGAGATTTTATAGTACAATATTTAGAATCATTTAGATTGAGATTTATCTCGAAAAATATGAGAATTAATTTTTAGCATTTAATTTAGTATAATAAAGTAAGTTTTAGAACTAATTGCGCATGAAAAACGCAACATTTAGTTATTGAAATGTTCGTAAGGAAGATCAACTTAACGAAAATTGTTAATTCTAGAAGTTTTACCAGGCAAATGTATTTGATTTTTGCTTTGGAAGACAATGCTAGTATCTTCAATGTAAGAATAAACCTTAAGATGAGCTTATTATTCAGGTTTGATGATTTATCTATTCTATTATTACATAATTACTGAAATTTTCATATATCTTAGCCATATTAAGAATTTTGAACCATCTACTTTACAATTTATTACGCGGATAATTTTTACAAATTTTAAATTTCACGATCTCTCTGATTTATTACATAAATGTGAAATGAATTCAGGAACCTCATAATTTATACGTAGCTTTTTAAATATTAATTTGATGTACTTATTTTTGATTTTTATCAAATAACTAATCGTTATTTACCTACATAACTCACTCCGTTAGCTTGAGGAACGCTGGTTCCTGCCAGGCAAACCAGGCACGTAAATATCCACGCAATTTCGTTCATTTTAGCCATCCTGGAAGAGTAAATGTATAGTATAAAATTCAACATATGATGAAGCCAATGCAGAAAATTCTTAAAAAATGTTCAACATAAGTTATGATATAGATTTGTTGTACAATGTTTAACGCACGAAGTCAAGGTGTACAATTGTCGAACAATTTTCAACACACAGGTTCACTGCTCAATAGAAGCTTCACTGCTCAATAGAAGCTTCACTGCTAAAGAGAAGCTCCACTGCCAAAGAGAAGTTCCACTGCTAAAGAGAAGCTCCACTGCTAAAGAAAAGCTGCACTGCTAAAGAGAAGCTGCACTGTTAAAAGAGAAGCTCCACTGCTCAATAGAAGCTTCACTGCTCAATAGAAGCTTCACTGCTAAAGAGAAGCTTCACTGCTAAAGAGAAGCTCCACTGTCAAAGAGAAGCTCCACTCCTAAAGAGAAGCTCCACTGCCAAAGAGAAGCTCCACTGCTAAAAAGAAGCTGCACTGTTAAAAGAGAAGCTCCACTGCTAAAGAGAAGCTGCATTGCTAAAGAGAAGCTCCACTGCGAAAGAGAAACTGCACTGCTAAAGAGAAGCTCCTATGCCAAATAGCTCTACTGCCAAAGAGAAGCTTACTGCTAAAGAGAAGCTCCACTGCTAAAGAGAAGCTCCACTGCTAAAGAGAAGCTCCACTGCTAAAGAGAAAATGCACTGCTAAAGAGAAACTCCACTGCAAAGAGAAGCTCCACTGCTAAAGAGAGACTGCACTGCTAAAGAGAAGCTCCACTGCTAAAGAGAAGTTCCACTGCTAAAGAGAAACTGCACTGCTAAAGAGAAGCTCCACTGATAAAGAGAAGCTGCACTGCTAAGGAGAAGCTCCACTGCTAAAGAGAAGCTCCACTGCTAAAGAGAAGATCTACTGATAAAGAGATTCTTCACTGCTAAAGAGAAGCTGCTCTGCTAAAGAGAAGCTGCTCTGCTAAAGAGAAGCTGCTCTGCTAAAGAGAAGCTCCACTGCTAAAGAGAAGCTCCACTGCTAAAGAGAAACTGCACTGCTAAAGAGAAGCTCCACTGCTAAAGAGAAGCTGCACTGCTAAAGAGAAGTTCCACAGCTAAAGAGAAGCTGCACTGCTAAAGAGAAGCTCTACTGCTCAAGTGAAGCTCCACTGCTCAAGAGAAGCTCTTCTGCTCAAGAGAAGCTGCACTGCTAAGGAGAAGCTGCACTGCTCAAGAGAAGTTCCACTGTTAAAGAGAAGTTCCACTGCTAAAGAGAAGCTGCACTGCTCAAGAGAAGCTGCACTGCTCATGAGATGCTCCACTGCTCAAGAGAAGCTCCACTGCTCATGAGAAGCTCCACTGCTCAGGAGAAGCTCCACTGCTTTAGAGAAACTCCACTGCTCAAGTGAAGCTCCACTGCTCAACCTATTCTGCTCATCACTGTATGCAAATGCGCACTGCATGCCAATACTCGGGAAAAATCGCCAGTAGAAGAACTCTCTCGATGACGGGTTCTGTGAACTGATAAGACGTATCATATGTTGATAGGCACGTTCACAATTTATGCTTCATTAGCTCAAGATTAACTGCATGTTTGTTAGATCTCATTCGGGTCACTTCAAGAATAACTTATATTGTATAATAATATTTTTCCTGATTGACTCAAACTTTTTGAGTGTTTTTGATATGTACTGAATGACTGCTGAGCACGTTAGAGAACCTTTCAATATTTTGAAAATATGAAATGGGTGATATTTCCTGTTAAAAACGACATTAATTTTCATCAAGAAGCTTGCACTTTATGAACTAAATGTATAAACATTGGATTTCTCTAACCTGGAATTATTATAGCCACTGCAGCGCTATAAAATTTACACATTTCTCGAGTGTTGTGGAGATNTTATTTATTATTTTTGTTGCAGAATCCTATTAGTTCACTACCACGAACTATATATTCCTGTCTCTTATACACATCTAGATGTGTATAAGAGACAGACTGAGTAGTTTGCTTTATTCCATTTTACGTTTACACTGTAGCGTTTAACTAAATAAATAATAGTAAAAACCACAACGTTGCTTGTTTTTCATTTGAAGGCGTTGTTATTATTGGTCATTTTCATAATGTCTCGTTATTGGCGGTAAAAATAAAATTTCACGGAACTTCTTCGGGATTTCGAAATCTGAACGAAAATGTAAAGAAATTATATGTTATGTCGGTCGTTTCCATTTTTTTCGTTTGCTACTATTTAAGATCCGCGCTGACTCGCCATACTGATTACGATTTGCTCAAATTTCTCTAAATAAATTTAATTCGCCCTAGTAAAATGCCATGGAAATTTCATCCTCTTTATTTTCTTTCTCTCGTCTTTGTCATGCTTAGAATTTCATTGAGAATAAAGTTGATGTCCGATTTTTGCCTTGAATGCCATGCAAATCGAAATATGTATCCCGATAAATGAGAATACACGCTAAACTATGACAGAAATATTGCGTTACTTCAATAAATATGATAATAGTCCTGCCGTCAAATGCCTAAAATACAAAATTTGACTGACGCAGTAGTAGTTTTTATATTTGACTGACATACATTGGCTTCCCCACTCATGGCTGACCATATTAATAGATTGATTGATGTCTTCTAAGCCACCATCATACCGTTGCCTCAATGTATTCAATATATGGCCATTGGTGTCCGTATGTGAGGACAATTTTAATTGTAAATCGAAATTATTTGAGCGTTTCTAAAAAGTTCAAATTAATACATGCAAACTAATTCCCTTTCTATGTTTCTTAAAAGCTGAACAAGTCTGCACCTACCAGAACGATGATGCTACAGTTTGTTCAAAAATGAAGTCCTATAATTTACCAGGAGAAAAGAAATAAATCAGGTTTATAGCACTTATTGCTTTATTATCAAAGCTACATTTGACAAAGTACGTCTCATTTCCTCGAAAGTTTATGAACTTGTTGGAGTGGTCACAGTTTGTGGCGCCGAATACTCGCCATCGCCAAACCCGTTGACTGCGGCTACCTCCACCTCATAGCTCGTGCCAGAGAAAATTTTTTCCGTGATATTCGCTTGTGTTGTGGACCCGTCAACAAACTCGTGCAGAATCTGATCGTTGTCCCCAGTGAGTGAAATGATGTATCTTTGGATCAAACCATTCGCTTCCTCAGGCCGTGACCATTTCGCATAGACCGAAGAAACCGTGGCAGAAAGCTCGGTAATTGACGGTGGGCTGCTCTCTGTAGAACGTAGCATTAATATTAAGTATGAAGGTTTGAAGTCTCTGAAATTGGAAAAAAATGCAATGGGAACGAATGAAAATAATATTAGGCATTCACAAATGTGTTGATGTGAACGCATGGATGTAAGGAACATTTTCTATAAATTTCTTTGTCTTCCATAGAAGTAGAGTAAATATTGTTCTGTAAAATTTTAACATTAAATGGTGAATGTTTCTCAAGTGAATAAAACTGGAATTTTGTAATTGACGAATGGAAACAATAGAAGAAAATGAAACCTGTGATTTCTCGCATGATATTGGTTGGATAAAATTTTCGAGAAATCACGTAATACATACAGACAGTAAAGTCACAGCTGGAACTGGGAAACCCTCGGTCGAAGAAGAAATAATTTTATTAGCCTACTTATGTTAGAATGAAATATTTCAGGTGGTATCATTTTTTCACTTAGATACTAACATCTAAAGACTCGGGACGAATAAATAAGTTATTTAAAATTTAAAGTGATATTGGAGTCAAAAACATATACGATTCTGGCTCTCTTTTGTGTGGACAAGTACGCTCGTTTGATGAGCTTATTAGATAATGATTTTAAACCTGTTACAACAACTTTAATTCTAAATTTGAACAGAGAGAATATGAATAAATTTGATCCAATTGAATTGATTGGTTGATATAACAATCGATTTTTACCTTCAGCCTTGAAAAAGTGCGTAATCATGTCGCTGGGCGGTCCATATCCAGCTCCGTTAACAGCCACCACTTCAATGGAGTAGTTGAGGCAGGATTCCAGTCCTGTTGCTTCGTAAAACGTGTCTTGGGAAATAACATCAACAGAGATGCTTTCTTTTGAGTTATTCATGAATACGACGTAACTTTTTATGATGCCATTCGCAGCTACCGGGGCGTCCCACTCCACCAGCAAAGAAGTCTGATCGTAGTCCGTGGCTCTCACGTTTTGAGGTGCACTTGGTGCTGTGTTTTTAGTAACAGTGGAGAANCGTTTGATGATCTTATCAGATGATGATTTTAAACCTGTTACAACAACTTTAATTCTAAATTTGAACAGAGAATATGAATAAATTTGATCCAATTGAATTGATTGACTGATATAACAATCGATTTTTACCTTCAGCCTTGAAAAAGTGCGTAATCATGTCGCTGGGCGGTCCATATCCAGCCCCGTTAACAGCCACCACTTCGATGGAGTAGTTGAGGCAGGATTCGAGTCCTGTTGCTTCGTAAAACGTGTCTTGGGAAATCACATCAACAGAGATGCTTTCTTTTGAGTTATTCATGAATACGACGTAACTTTTTATGATGCCATTCGCAGCTACCGGGGCGTCCCACTCCACCAGCAAAGAAGTCTGATCGTAGTCCGTGGCTCTCACGTTTTGAGGTGCACTTGGTGCTGTGTTTTTAGTAACAGTGGACAACAATTAACAAATTAGGAGATAACAACTTGTGGTTTTCTTATAAAGTTGGAAATCGATAACGATTTGAAACCAAACAATATATATAATTTTCATGTTGGGTCTGTGCAAGCAGTGAAGTTTATTCCATGTGATCACACTATTATTTTCCGAGTTTTAAACAAGTTTCAATAAATTCTAAAAATTAGAAAGACAAATCAATAATTTATCATACGTAAGAAGATGATTGAACAAATATACTATTTCAACCATACATGAAAAGTTCTGTAGTTGTAAGAATCGAGCTTTAATTTCTGACATAAAAATACTTCCTTTTCAAACTTACATTACTTAAAAAGACGCTTTACAGTACAGTTTATTTACCTCTCTCTGGCGATGTACATACAGTAGTTCCATTGTCGCTTGTGACATTATAATGGACAGCGGACACTGAAAAAAAGTAATCTGCATACGGTAGATAGTCGCTGAATTCTATTTTATGTTCTGTTGTTATAATTGGCAGTCCTGAGCCGGCAAAATCTGAACTCCAGCGACTCTGGGCGGTCCAGGAAACATTGAACTTCGACGTTGGGCAGTCGTTCATTGGGTCTTGCCACGAGAAAATCCAGATATCTTCATTTTGTTCACTGATCGAACAGGACAGTTGCTTCGGAGGCAGAGTTTCTATGCGGAGAAAAGGATTTATTTTTATAAGTCATCTGAAATAATGGCAAAAAGGAAATAAGATATAGAGCCTTAAGAGTTGGTTTCACACGGCAATACATGAAAAAATTCCATTTTATGTAACCATTGCGGGACACTATCTTTATTTTAGAATATGAATATTGTTTATATAGGTACTTATGTTCTCATATGATATTAACAATTTAACTTTCATGACATCGAAAACATTTTATTGTATTACTATTTTTTTAATTATTTTTGGACTATCACTTAAATTGCTTGGCCGCAAGTTAGAATGACTAAGCATTTTAGTAACTCGATGAACAAAGTCAATTCTATTTCCAAACCATCGAAAGACACCTGCATTTTTTATATATACAAGCTGAAAATATAAACTTTTGCTTCTTCTTTCTAGGATTTATTTCCCATTAAGTGATACCCAAAACTTCAACACCATCTTTCGTTTTTTGACGTGGTCGTTGAGTATTGAAAGAAGAATTGGAATAGAAAAACTCCACTATATATACTGCACCAATTATCATGTTAACTTTAAAAAACCATCGTAACGAAATGAAACCATAGCAACAAATTAATAATGAAAGGATGCAGAACAACTAGAAGCACTTTAGTGGTAATGGATGCCTTTGGTAAACATTAATTATATTTATGACTCAGTATATACAATATCTTGAACCGTTTTAAAGCTTCAGGCATGCCAATGATCAAGGAAAGGATGTCACTCTGACCGAAACGTGATTCTGAATAAATATTATTACCTCTTATATTCGTAACATTCTTCAAACTAACCATCAGGTCCTGTATATTCCTTCTCTAGCGCGCCTTCGTAGTAATATGAATCTGTTTCATATCCCAGGGGAATTATGGTGAGCTCCAGGTCATATGGAGTACAGACATCCAAACCCGTGATGTTGTAGAACACGACCGAATTTCCTCGACCTTCGTCCAGCTGGTCCATAAAGCTTGTGTCTCTTTCAACTTCTTTTTCGTACCAGAAATTCTTGCCGTTTAATTTACTCTGTAAATTCAACGGAGAAAAGGCTTCTCCATTAAATTTTGAAGCAATGGCATTATTTTTGCCGTATTTTTTCGAATAATCGAGCACGGAATCAGCGGACTTTTCAGCCATTTTTGTAGTCGCTTGCAAACAATCTCGTGTATCTAGCGTTGACCCGTGAATGATGTCCAAGCTGCAATACTGAATTTCATCATTCGGATACACTTCCCATTGAACTTCAAGTGCTGTTGCATATCGCGTCGTTACCGTAAAGTCTAACGAAAAAATGATAATGATTAAAACATAATGAAATCCTGTAAATTAATTGTTTGCATTGAATTACGTCAATAAAGTATTTGTATATGATTGGGGTGTCGTGTATCAAAATTATGATCAAAAGACTAATAAGGGAATTAATAAAAGTTTTTAAGTCAATCTTCAGGGCCAGGGTTATTCAAGCAGCACGCGAATGAAAGCGTGAGATCTAATTCTACAATAATTTTCCTGGTGTTATTTAGAATTAAGATTCCAAATAATTATGTGTGACAGAATATTTTTCTAAAAAACTTACTAGCATCTACGGCCTGGACCTTGGTATGACCAATAGTTTTTCCAGAAGTCGGAAGACCGGCTACCTTTACATTAAAAAAATTATGTTACTTTGATAAATAGAAATGAGTATTGAAAGTAAGTCTAGTGCAGATATTAAAATCAGGACTCAGAAGAATATTCAATGACGAGCTTGATCCTTGTAAATCAGATTTTGTAAATGTTCGCGAGATTTTAGAGTATAATATTTAAATTAATTTAGATTAAGATTTAAAAATGAAAATTAGTATAAATAATTTTTTTGCGTTTAATTTAGTTTAATAAAGTGAGTTTTAGAACTAATTGCGCATGAAAAACGCAACATTTAGTTATTAAAATGTTCTTTTAGGATGATTTCTTAACAAAAATTGTTAATGCTTGAAGTTTTACCAAAGCAAATTCATTTGATTTTTGCTGTGGAAGACAATGTTAGAATCTTCAATGTTTTAATACACCTCAAAATGAGTTTATTATTCAAGTTTGATGGTCTATTTAATGTATTATCACATAATTACTGAAATTTTTAAATATCTTAGCCATATTATGAATTTTGAAACATCTACTTTACAATTATTTTCCTGAAGAATTTTTGCAAATATCAAATCACGATCCCTCTGATTTACTACATTACTGTGAAATGAAATCAGGAACCTCATAATTTATCCGGAGCTTTTTAAATGCTATTTCCATGTATTTATGTCTCATGTTTATCAATAACTAATCAATAATTGCCTATATTACTCACTCCGTCAGCTGGAAAAACGCTGGTTCCTGCCAGACAAACCAGGCACGGAAATATCCACGCTATGTCGTTCATTTTAGCCATCCTGGAAGGGTAAACATATATTACAATATTCAATATATGATGAAACCAATGCGTAAAATTCTTGAAAAATATTAAACATAAGTTAAATATATATGTGTTGTACTATGTTCAACGCATGAAGTCAAGGTGTACAATTGTCGAACAATTTTCAACAAACAGCTTCACTGCTCAAGAGAAGCTCCACTGCTAGAGAGAAGCTTCACTGCTAAAGAGAAGCTCCACTGCTAAAGAGAAGCTCTACAGCTAAAGAGAAGCTCCACTGCTAAAGAGAAGCTCTACAGCTAAAGAGAAGCTCCACTGCTAAAGAGAAGCTCCACTGATAAAGAGAAGTTCCACTGCTAAAGAGAAGCTCCACTGCTAAAGAGAAGCTCCACTGCTGAAGAGAAGCTCCACTGCTAGAGAGTAGCTTCACTGCTCAATAGAAGCTCCACTGCTAAAGAGAAGCTCCACTGCTAAAGAGAAGCTCCACTGCTAAAGAGAAGCTGCTCTGCTAAAGAGAAGCTCTACAGCTGAAGAGAAGCTCCACTGCTAAAGAGAAGCTGCACTGCTAAAGAGAAGCTGCACTGCTGAAGAGAAGCTCCACTGCTCAAGAGAAGCTCCACTGCTCAAGAGAAGCTCCACTGCTAAAGAGAAGCTGCACTGCTAAAGAGAAGCTGCACTGCTGAAGAGAAGCTCCACTGCTAAAGAGAAGCTCCACTGCTCAGGAGAAGCTCCACTGCTTTAGAGAAACTCCACTGCTCAAGTGAAACTCCACTGCTCAGTCTCTGCTGCTCATCACTGTTTGCAAATGCGCAGTGCATGTCAATTCTCGGAAATAATCATCAGTAGAAGAACACTCTCGATGATGGTTTCTGTGAACTGATAAGATTTATCATATGTTGATAGGCACGTGCATAATTTATGCTTCATTAGCACAAGATTAACTGCATGTTTGTTTGATCTCATTCATGTCACTTCAAGAATAATCGGTATTGTTTATTAATATTTTTACCGATTGAGTCATGACAGGAAAGATTGAAAAACGTGTTACAGGTTACGAAAAACTTTTCACGTGAAGCTCTGAAATTTAAGCTAATGAGCTTAGAAAATTAATGTATGAATAAAAAATCATAACACCATCACCCAAGCAACGATGGTGGAACTTAATATTAATTAATGTTTGTTAGAGCGACAAAATTAACTTCTATCTAAATGAAAAGAAACATCAAAATTAGCTTCACTTTGGGTAGAAACGGAATCTAAAAAGATTGCCTCTATAACATATCTTAGTATCTTTGTCAATTTATTTATAGACTCCCATCTGATTAAACTCTATATACACTTTGGCAAACATTTCTTGTCACATCAACTTTTGCACTCAGAGAAATACATTGTCTAAATATTGACACTTATATACGTCTTAAATATAAGTAATATTACCTGACAGAATTTGAATTTTTTCTTGAGGAATATACAATTCTTAAAAGGACAATATGCTTGTAGATTGCCGTAAGAAATCAATTTCACTATTGTTACCATACATATTAATAGCATATATTATATGTACATATTCTACGTATTATTTTAACAGCATCATGTTACGCTCACCTTCCTGATAAGCAGGGATGCCACTCTGTTAACATCATCGTTCAATAAATAGTCAATTGGCTTTGGTTATGAATAATTTTTGAAAGTCGTTCTAGCGTCTGTATAGTTGGTTTACAATGAAATAACATAAAAAATCAAAATATTGCCCCATAAGCATAGCGTGTTTTAATATCAATTATTTGTTCTAAAGCTAATATGTTTCTTCAAATTCTAGTATGGGAAACTGCGGTATTCAAATTGGATTAACACCAAAGGTTACAGTTTGGTTAAACTTACAGTTTAGTTAGCGCACACATGAAATAGTAACGAAAAACCTCTGAAATTTATTTCTCCAACAATTATGAGACAGATGCTGTATAAAGCCTCCAAGACAATAAAACGATATGGAAATTATCACGAAATTGACTTTGGTATAAGAATGATAATACGGTTGTCGCTTTTCCGATTTCATGTCTTTTTGATATGTACTGAATGACTGCTGAGCACGTTAGAGAACCTTTTAATATTTAGAAAACTATGTAATGGATGATATTCCCGGTTAGAAATGCTGACCACATTAAAGAATCTTTTAATATTCAGAAAATTTGAACTGTTGATATTTCCGGTTAGAAATCGACATTAGTGTTCATTTAGAAGCTTACACTATATATGAACTAAATACATAAACAACTGATTTCTCTAACACGCAATTACTACAGCCACTTCAGCGCTGTAAAATTTACCTATACCTCGAGTTTGGTTGGTATCCCTGTCTATTTGGGGCAATTATCGGTTAATTACCTAATTCAAAATCAACTGAACTCACTTACCTGAAATTAATATCGCCACTGCGTACTTGAAAAATTATTTTATTATTTTGTTATTTTAGCTTGGGACATCAGTTTTGGGTTGAAAATTAATTCTTTGGCTGGTAGTTGCTTTGCTGGTTATTATATTTTATCACCCTCGAGATAAATATGTATGTGGCCAGCGAAGTTCATAAAAGGGCAATAAATTTAATTTGTCTACTGAAATCTGAGAAGACTGAGTAGTTTATTCTATTTCATGTTACTTTTACACAATTGTATTGCATAAATAAGTAATATTGAAAACCACAACGTTACTTCGTTTTATTTGATGGCGTGGCTATTATTGGCTACCATCATAAGAACTCTTCATTATTTATTGGTGCTAAAAAATAAATTTTCCCTGAACTTGTTCGGTATTTCGAAATCTGAACGAAAAATGTTTTTCCCTTTTTTCATTTTCCAAAATGAAAAAAATTAACTTTTTTTCATTTGCTACAATTGAAGATCCGCGCTGACTTTCCCTGTTGATAACGATTTGTCATATTTTTCTAAATAAATTTAATTTGCCAAGTAAAATGCAATGGAAATTTTACCCTGTATGTCCGATTTTTGCCTTGAATGTCATGCAAATCGGAATATGTACCCCGATAAATGAGAATACACGCTAAACTATGACAGAATTATTGCGTTATTTTGATAAATATGATGAAAGTCATGCAGTCAAATGCCTAAAATGCAAAATTTTACTGAAACAATATCGACTTTATATTAGCGTTATAATTATGATGTCAATGCATGACCGACCCTATGTGATGGAAAGATCGATGTCTTCTGAGCCATGGTTGAACTGATACAAGGTTGACCCACGCGCAGCTGCGCCTTGCGGATGTCATTTGTTATTCCACCCGTGATGTCAATATTTCATGTTACTTTTACACAATTGTATTGCATAAATAAGTAATATTGAAAACCACAACGTTACTTCGTTTTATTTGATGGCGTGGCTATTATTGGCTACCATCATAAGAACTCTTCATTATTTATTGGTGCTAAAAAATAAATTTTCCCTGAACTTGTTCGGTATTTCGAAATCTGAACGAAAAATGTTTTTCCCTTTTTTCATTTTCCAAAATGAAAAAAATTAACTTTTTTTCATTTGCTACAATTGAAGATCCGCGCTGACTCTCCCTGTTGATAACGATTTGTCATATTTTTCTAAATAAATTTAATTTGCCAAGTAAAATGCAATGGAAATTTTACCCTGTATGTCCGATTTTTGCCTTGAATGTCATGCAAATCGGAATATGTACCCCGATAAATGAGAATACACGCTAAACTATGACAGAATTATTGCGTTATTTTGATAAATATGATGAAAGTCATGCAGTCAAATGCCTAAAATGCAAAATTTTACTGAAACAATATCGACTTTATATTAGCGTTATAATTATGATGTCAATGCATGACCGACCCTATGTGATGGAAAGATCGATGTCTTCTGAGCCATGGTTGAACTGATACAAGGTTGACCCACGCGCAGCTGCGCCTTGCGGATGTCATTTGTTATTCCACCCGTGATGTCAACTTGCTCGTTGTGACGTCATCTTTTGACGTCACCGTGTGATTCAAACTGATTTGTAACACCTGTAATGCTTATATAAGACTAGTTGCAGTAAATAGATTTTTTTGGCCATTTTAATGCGGTAAATTTTTTTCGTGGTGGAACTAATACAAGGTTTTCCCTAGTGCAGCTGCGCCTTGCGGATGTCATTTGTTATTACAACTGTGACGTCACCTTGGCTCTTGTGACGTTAAACTTATTTATAACGCAGGTTTTGCTTACAATAATTATTTAAATTATTTTAAGCAAAATAATTACTAATTAGTCATTATTTAATAATTGAAAAAAATTAATAATTTTTAGTAATTAAATTTTCTTGGGGTATGTTGATGAGGTCAATTTTTTTAAAGCTTTCAATATGACATAAAAACAATGTGTTGATCTATAATATTTACATTTTGTGCCCACAGTGACGTCACTCTAAAGATGCGCAGAACGGCGAAAAATCGTCATCACCGTGGGTCAACCTTCCATTAGTTTAACCATCTTCTGAGCCATCAGCATACCGTTGCATCAATGTATGCAAACAGCCATTTTTTTCGTATGTGTGGACAATGTTAATTCTGGATTCAAATTATAAATACATTTGATCCTTTCTATCATGTTCAAATTTTGATGTGCAAACTAACATACATCCCATGTTTTGCATTATATACCTGAGCCAGAAGCTGAACAAGTCTGTTCATGCTTTACGTACCTCTATCAAAATTCAGGGACCGCCCAGGCTTCGGCCGAATAGTCGCTACACTCGGCGCAAAGTTATTCTGTGTCGATCTGCTTGACCATTCGATCGAAATGAGTTTCTGGTCAGAATCTCCTGTCTGACTATTTTTTCGCCTGAGAGTATGACAAGGGTTGGCCCGAGCCGAGTCATATCGAGCTAGCAAGCTGTCCAGAGGCTGCTCTTGGAACCCTGAGCCGAAGCGGTCAAAGAGAATCTGATTCAAGTGCGGTCCGAGTCCTAGGCGACTCTAATGTAGGGTCGCGCACGCCTTTTTTTTTGTTAGAGGCGTGTCTAATCTATACAATATACTGTACCTACAAGTCTGTACCTGTACAATACTAGCGCATTGTACCTGCCAGTACAATACGAGAGTTAAAAAAAACGAAATTCTATATATTTTCCAGATGAAAGCAAACAAATCAGATCTGTGGCACTTGTCTCTTTATTATCAAAACTACATTTTACTAGTAGGATACTTTTTCATTCCCTCGGAAGGTTATGAACGGCTTGGTAGGGTGGTCACAGTTTTTGGTGCTGAATACTCGCCTTCGCCAAAACCGTTGATTGCGGCCACCTCCACCTCATAGCTCGTGCCAGAAAGAATTTTTTCCGCTACATTCACTTGTGTTGTGGACCCGTCAACAAACTCGTGTAGGCTCTGACCGTTGTCCCCAGTGAGTGAAATGATGTAGCTTTGGATCAAACCGTTCGCTTCCTCAGGCGGCGACCATTTCACATAGACCGAAGAAACCGTGGCAGAAAGCTCGGTAATTGACGGTGGGCTGCTCTCTGTAGAACGTAGCATCACTATATAAGTTTAAGCATTTTACTATGCAATTATGAGAGTTCGATTAATAATAGCATTTTAATATATAAGTTTATTTGAGGCGAAACCCTAATGTTACCTCGAAAAACAAAAATATATATTAAAAATAGAACTCGATTGGCTCAAAATCTTACAAACTTGATAATCCACAGTTTTTATTTTTCCCTTTAAAATTACAAATTAACAATACTAACTTCGTTAAACTGAGTTATGAACATGCAAAACAAATAAAAATCCAATCAAAATGCAATAGCTCCTATAAAGTTGTTTACTTAGAAAAACTAAGCACTACATTAAAATGAACTTACTTGTGTCACTTGAATTTACGGCGCATCCACTCTCTAAGCTAAAATCTGCTGTTGCTACAATGATATTGTACTCCGTCCCGGGGTAGAAATCCGTCGCAGGCAGGTCATAGTGGTTCACATTCACGGTTGTCTCATCACTCCTAGTCTCGTTTTTCCAGGGAATATAAAGACTGTACCATACTTCATACGAAGACTCTTTACAATCACGATAAATTGGGTTCCATTGAGTGTAAACTCCCGATGAGTTGACATGGCAAACTATAAACTCAAGGTTTGAAGTCCCTGAAATTGAAAATAATGCAATGAGAAAATTACTTATCGAGAAAATTTTAAAATGTTAGAGATTGCAAAAATGCGTTAATGCGAAAGCATGGATATGAGGAACATTTCCTATAAAATTATATTTGTTTGTTGTCGGGTAGTAGACAAAGTTTTGTTCTGAATTAATCAAAACCATGTGGTTAGTGTTTCTGAAATGAATAAAACGAAAATTTCGCAGGAGACGAATAAAAACAATAAGAAAAAGTTTAAAACTTGTGGTCTATTAGTATTCCGTGGATTTAAGTTCCAGAGAAATCATGTAACGCAGAAGGTAACAACTTGAAATTGGAAACAATTGAATAAACAGTATATTTTTATTAGCCTACTTATGTTGAAACGAAGTATTTCAGGTAATATCATTTTTTCATATCAGTACTAACTCGAATTGATAAGATGAATAGATTCATTTAATTTCAAAAATAATACTGTAGTAATAAATGTAAGATTTTGTCTCTCATTTGAGTGGTCATGTACGCTCGTTTAGTACAGTTATCTGGAAGAAATTGTAGATTAAATGTTAAAGTTAAGTCTATGTTCGAATTGAATGAAAAATGCTGCTAGTTTGTGTATTAACATTCTGCAATACAACACAAATGGAATTCCTCGGCTAGGAAAGTAAGATCTCCACTCGAATTTTTCGTCGCTAAAGTTTGTTTCAAGTGGAGCATTTACCGAGATGACAAAGAAGATGATTTATGAACCTTTAAAATTAATTTTAGTATATTCGCCTACAGAATAAAAATTTGATTTTATTGATATTAATTGAATTGATTGATTAAAATAAAAACTGATTGTTACCTCCACTTTCGTATAAATGCGTAATCATATCGCTGGGCGGTCCATATCCAGCTCCGTTAACAGCCACCACTTCGATGGAGTAGTTGAGGCAGGATTCGAGTCCTGTTGCTTCGTAAAACGTGTCTTGGGAAATCACATCAACAGAGATGCTTTCTTTTGAGTTATTCATGAATACGACGTAACTTTTTATGATGCCATTCGCAGCTACCGGGGCGTCCCACTCAACCAGCAAAGAAGTCTGATCGTGGCCCGTGGCTCTCACATTTTGAGGTGCACTTGGTGCTGTGTTTTTAGTAACAGTGGAGAACAATTAACAAATTAGGAGATAATAACGTATAGTTTATTTCTATAGTCGAAAATCGAGAACGGTTTTGAAACTCAAAAACAAATATAACTATAAGGTTGGGACGATGCAAGCAGTAAAATATGCTCAAGATGACCACACTATGAATTTCCAAAATTTGAATAAAAAAACGAAATTACTGCAAATTTTCAAGAAGTTTAAAATAGGAACAAGAAAACTGTATAATTTCACATCCATAAGAATTAATTATGTAGTTGCAAAAATCGAATTGTAGTCACTGAAATAAAAATACTTCTTTTTCACATATAAACAATAGAGCTTACAATATTTCTTACTAACCTTTTTCAGGTGATGTGCATACAATACTTCCATTGGCACTAGTGACATCACCGTAGTCGGCAGATACTGCGAAATGGTAATCTGCGTACGCTAGAAAGTCGATAAATTGTTCTTGGTGTTCTATGGTGACATAAGACATGCTGGCAACCGCTGAACTCCAGCGACTCTGGGCGGTCCAAGCAACATTGAACTTCGACGTTGGGCATTCGTTCATTGGGTCTTGCCATGAGAAAATCCAGATATCTTCATTTTGTTCGCTGATCGAACAGGACAGTTGCTTCGGAGGCAGAGTTTCTATGCGGAGAAGAGGATTTATTTTCATGAGTCATACGAAATAATGACAAAAATTAAATAAGAAATATAGAAACTTAAAATTTTAGTTTGAAGTCGAACAGGTTACTGATCGAACAGGACAGTTGCTTCGGAGGCAGAGTTTCTATGCGGAGGAAACGATTCTCTTTCATAAATCATATGGAATAATAATAACAATGAAATAAACTATTACCACATGAGATTTTCCTTTAACACCGTCACGGCCAATTCACAAGTATTAATTTTGTAACTTAATGAAGAGACTAAATTCTGTTTCCAAATATTAAAGGACACGGGCATTTTGGTAAATCCAACTGGATGAAATAATATTTTGATGCTGTGTTCAGGAGGCTATATCCTTTAAGTGACAAACTAAACTTTATTAGCGCCTCTCGTTTTTTGACATGGTCAGTGTGTATTAAATATACAAATAAAATGAAGCACAAATTTCATTCAATACTGCACCAATTCTTATGCTAATTTTAAATAGCCATCATAAAAAGTGAAGAGTATACATGTATGTATAGATAATAATTAAACAATCACGAGATCATTATGGGTATTTTAACAATAATGGATGCCTTTAATAAACATTAATTGTTACTCTGCATAATATCAGGATCCATATGAAGCTGTCAGGTATAATAATTGAATAAAGGCATGATGTCACACTGACTGAAACATCAACCTAATTAAATATATTAATACCTGTTTTTAACAAAACATTCTCCAAACTAACCATCAGGTCCTGTGTTTTCCTGCTCTAGCGAGTCACGGTAGTAATATGAATCTGTGTCATTTGTATTAAATCCAATGGGAACAACGATGAGCTGCAGGTCGTATGAAGTACAGGCATCCAAACCCGTGATGTTGTAGAACACGACCGAATTTTCTCGACCTTCTTCTAGCTGATCCATAAAGTTTGTTTTCCTTTCAACATCTCCTTTGTAATTTAAATCCTTGCCTTTCATTTGAGTTTGCAAACTCAAAGGGGCGAAGTCTTCTTCGTTCGACGATCGAGCAACAGCTTTATTTCTGCCGTATTTTTTAGTATAATCGAACACGGAATCTTGGAACTTTTCGCTAGTTTGTCGAGACGGTTGCAAACAATCTCTGACATCCTGCGTTGACCCGTAGAATATAGTCAACAAGCACTCCTGTATCAGTTCATTTGAATTCACTTCCCACTGCACTTCAAGTCTTGTCGCATAACGTGCCGTTACTTTCAAGTCTGCAGAAAAATTCATAATCTTTATAACATTAGGAATTTTATAAGATTAATTGCCTGAATGAATGACGCCATTAAGGTATTTGCAGTAAATTTCAGTGTCATGTCCCAAAATCATGATAAAATAACTGATTAGATGAAGAAAATATCCAACTAAGCAAAGGTTCAGAACCTAAATACAAAATCCACTGATATTCATTTAGCTCGCTAATGGAAATGTGTGCCTCTGATATGTTCAAAAAGTGTTATTATTATTGAGAGAATTATTTTCATCATGAATATAAATTCGACAGCGATATAAGTGTTCTACCATCATTTCTAGTCATGTTCACTCGAACAGTTGACGCTACATAACGACTTACTTGCATCTACGACCTGCGCCTTGGTAAGCCCACCAGTTGCTCCAGGTAACGGAACACCGGCTCCCTTTCCATGGAGAAATGAACGTGAGATGTAAGTATGTAAGTTTTAGAAGTAAGTATTGGATATAAGCTTTAGAAGTATTGTAAATATTGGAAGTTAATTTTAGAAGCAAGTATAGAAGTAAGTATTGGATGTAAGTTTTAGAAGGATTGGATATAAGCTTTAGAAGTATCGTAAATATTGGAAGTTAGTTTTAGAAGCAAGTATAGAAGTAAGTATTAGAATTAAGTTTTAGAAGTATTGTAATTATTGGAAGTTAGTTTTAGAAGCAAGTACAGAAGTAACTATTGGATATAAGTTTTAGAAGTATTGTAAGTATTGGAAGCGAGTATTGAAAGCAAGTATTAGAAGTAAGTATTAGAAAGAAATATTGAATGTAAGTATTGGAAGTAAGCTTTGAATGTAAGGATTGGCCGTGAATATTGAATGCAAGTATTTCAAGTAAGCTTTAGAAGTAGGTATTGTATGTAGGTATTGGATGTAGGTATTGGATGTAGGTATTGGATGTAGGTATTGGATGTAGGTATTGGATGTAGGTATTGGATGTAGGTATTGGAAGTAAGTATTGGATGTAGGTATTGGATGTAGGTATTGGATGTAGGTATTGGATGTAGGTATTGGATGTAGGTATTGGAAGTAGGTATTGGATGTAGGTATTGGATGTAGGTATTGGATGTAGGTATTGGATGTAGGTATTGGATGTAGGTATTGGATGTAGGTATTGGATGTAGGTATTGGAAGTAGGTATTGGATGTAGGTATTGGATGTAGGTATTGGATGTAGGTATTGGATGTAGGTATTGGATGTAGGTATTGGAAGTAGGTATTGGAAGTGTGTATTAGAAGTAAGTATTGAAAGTAACAGTAAGTATTGGAAGAAAATTTAGTAGTAAGATTGGTGATAATTTTCTCAGGGGCTCAAAAGAATATTTACTCACGAGCTTGTTCCTCCTCTTCAGAATAATATCGTCATGTATAACATTTTAAATTGTTTAAAAGTGGAATTAAAAACTGGGGCGTATATAATGTTTACGAGATTTTAGGGTATAATTTTTCAAATAATGAACAAAATTAAAATGTCACATGAATTTTTTGCTGTAGTAAACTTTTTGGAATATATTATAAATGTCAAAACTCAAAACTTTCAACAAAATGACAAGGTTTTAAGTAAAATGAAATTCGATCGTGGAAATCAACTTATGAACAAATGAATCAGACTCGAAAAATTGTTCATGATAATTTAATTTACATTTTTACATTTGAAATGTTCCGTTAACTTCATTAACGTAAAAAATTAATTCTGTAAATTTTACCGCAACAAATTTCTTTGATTTGATCTTGATTGAGGAAGACAATGTTTGTATTTCCTAGACTAAAATAAGGCTAAAGCTGTGCTAATAACTCAAGTTTGCTAATTTATTTCGTTTACTTGAAAAAAAATGTGTTAAATATGTGAAATATTCACTTTAATACTTGTTAACAGATGCATTTTCTGCGATATTTTAACCATCCATGACTTACTATGTAAATGTGAAAATAAATAAGAAACCTCATAATTTATTAAAATTTTAATCCTTAATTGATCACGTAACTCACCCCTTTAACTCGAGGAACGCTGGTCACTGCAAGCCAAACTAGGCACGGAAATATCCACGCAACTTTGTTCATTTTAGCCATCCTGGAGGTGAAGAAAAGTATATTATACTCAGTATAAGTCAAGGTGTAGAATAATTAATTAATATTCAACATAAGACGCCAAAGAATACAACTGTTGGACAGTGTTCAACACATGAAGTCATAATACATAAGTGATCTCATGCATATATCATATACACACATGACGCACAACACGTGAAGTCAAGTGAATGCACCCATAAAATTTGGTGCACTAAGATGTGATGGGATAGCGTTAAATTATTTAATAATAGTAATAATAAAAATATATAGATAATAATGATATAATTAACAATAACAATAATAGTATATTGATAAAATAATTATCAGAATAATAATGATTTTAATAGCAATATTAAGAGACGCATAAGTTTTCCAGGAAAGCACTGCTGTTCATCACTGCTCGCAAGACTAATGGTCGAAGGCGGCCAATAGAAGCGATAATGCTGATTGTTTCTGAGAACTGATAACATTTATCACATGTTGATAGGCACCTGCATATTGCACACTCTATTATTTCAAGATTTACTGAGTATTTGTTAGATCTCATTTTTGTTATATCAAGAATGATCGATATTGTTCATTAATTGACCTGAACATATGTTACAAGAAAAAACACGTAACAGGCGATAAAAAATTACAAATGTAAGCCTCTATAAGCTAAAGGGTGATTCTATACTAAAAAACAAATAGTGAAGAAACTTATTGTGAACTAATGTACTACTTAGTTAAAAGAGAGAAATGCACTTCTCCAAAATGATCGGAACATCAAAATAGACTTCTTTTCTGGTAGAAATGATGTATAACAAAATTTACCTTTCCAACATATCTTTGTCAATTGATTTTTAAATGAATGAAAAATAGATGAATTTTCCCATTGGAATATTTTTACACATTGACAAACATTTCCAGCCACTTACGCTTTTACTTTCAGAAATATAATATTTTCCAAGTAGTGATATCTTGCTTACAGAACGCGAACTCATCATAACAATTGCTGGGGCTAACTGGGTCAGGATGACCCACACACGGGCAAAAACTGCATCGATATTTGGACAAAGTATCGCTTATTTCTCTGAGTGAAGGCAATCATAGTGAGCTGGTTGGGGAAAGCAGAGAAAAAATATGAGTGAAGGCGTTGAAAATATTCGACATTTCGAATATTTGGACGATGAATCTGCTAGCTCATGGGCTTCTGAATTATCGAATTTAAAATTTTTAAGTTTCATACAATTGTGTTCAATTCGTTGACCGCGGTAGAATATTATTACAGCATTTAAACTTAAACTTATGCAAGTAACGCAAAGTCTTAAATTAAATGTCAAGACTCTCGCCTGGTTCAAAAAAATGCTTGATACCTTTGAAAATCATAGAAATAAGAGAGTTTACAATAATTGAAAAAGTGCAATATTTAATAAAGTTTGTCCATATTCCATAGTTTAACTCAACACTTGACAAAAGACGGAGATAATAGGCTCATGAGAGGACGTCGTGCTGTCAAGGATCGACACATTTCTTAAATGAAAAATCCCACCTAACGTAGCATTATAGGCTACGTTAGGGTACGCACACAGTGAAAGCAGGTTGCCAGCGTGCTGGTTACCTGCTCAGGCTGGCGTCTGAAACCATAGAATACAAAAGCCTATTCGTACAGGTTTTCACTGTGAACACTTACATTATCATCCTATGTTCATTCTTGTGGCAGGTTGGAGCAGGTTGCTTGCGCGGGCAAACCTGCTTCCACTGTGTGCGTACCCTTAGGTGGGATACTCTATACTCTAGGTTCACTCACCATAAATTGCTGGCTCCTGCCTCTCATAGTTTTGATGTAATTTAAAAAAAAAGTGATGGTCTTTGTTACCCCAGCTCTTGGGGTATCTTAGACTGGGTGGTAAAATCAATTAATCAACCATGAAAGCCAAAACTTGTGTTTCGTCAGTCTGTGGCACTAATTTGTTCGCTATAATAATATTTTAGGTCGCCACTGTTAGCGCAATGGTAGAGGCAGCGAGATGAGAGGGGCTAGCCGTGGGTTCGAGCCTTAGAAAGCTTAGTTCATTTCTCGGTGTCGCTGGCGGGCGGAGCTTGGTTGCCGTCAAAGATGGTGCTTGCAGCATGGCCTTTGGTTGATGTCTCTGAACGAACTCTGGTTACGTGTTACCTGGGGGGATTATTAAGTTCTTTGACAACTCCACACCAACCTGACAAGTTCCATAATACTTATTTAATGCATGCGAAAATGTTTTCACGAAGAGCTGTGCAGTAGAGATGTAGCTCAGTGGGTTAGAACCTTTTATGGGGCCAAGCAAGTTTAATTATCTGCAGAGAACCAATCAGCTAGAGAATCAGCGCGGTCTGAACTTTCTCTAAAAGGTATGGACTGCCTCCTTTATATAGGTTTTGTGTATATATCATCAAACAGTTCCTCTGGCAATGATAAACTACTAAACTGCCTTTTACCGAGCATGACTTTCAATAGGTGGCATGAGTTGATCACTGGTGACTCTCGTAATAACGATTTTCGATGTGACCCATGTTGGCCCAAGGTGGTATTACAATATTGGTCACAGGTGAAAATGCCATATGGCAGACACTTCTTTTTGGGAAATTTCTGCCCAGTTAGACCATGTAGAAATTATACGATTCCTACATAGGGACAACATAGCTCGCACATGGCAAAACCATGTGTCTGCCACATTGTGGCTACACGGTTGTCTCACATTTGCCTACATTGTTTCTATTAGTGGGCCTTTATTTTCACCATACGTCAAACAATCTCCGTTTAGGGCTGCTGCCGCATGGCAGCCGCATGCCGGGCTCTGCAGGTTTCTATCGAAGGCCCACGCAACAAGAACATGGGCAAACAAAGTACATACTATATACGCGTATTGTATGCGCGGCCTTTCTTTCTGAGCCCTGCAAATTTCTATCGAGGGCCTGCGCTGCGCGCCAAGAACATGGGTACATGTACATACTATATACCTGTAATATACACACAGCCTTTCTTCCTAGGCCCAGCAGGTTTCCATCGAGAGCCTATGCGTCAAGAACATGTGTAAACCATGTACATACTATATATCTGCATTGTACACGCGGCCTTGCATCCTGGCCCCAGCTGCTTCAAACAAGGGCCAAAAATCAAGCGTCACGCACCAGGCGACGTCACGAACATTTTTAACTAACTATCGTGTGAATTTGGTGAGCCATGATAGTCTGAAACCTTATAAGCTTTGAGCTCGTATATGGAATTTTAATTTTTACTCTGTGAAATTTAGAGGATGACTATAGTCAACCTCTAAATTTCACAGTAAAGATTTAAATTAACAATGAAGAGCCGCCATGCGTTCCGACCTAGGGACCAACAAAATTTATTTCGTTAAGGTAAATGATGGAGTTTTCAAATTAATTGTGGCGTTCTGATTTTATATCATATTCAACAGGCTTGTGATGTCGTCCGTACGATGAAAAACCTGCGAGTAACTGTTAAAAGGACCTGTCGTAATTTTTACACATATATGATAATATCACGAGAGTGGTGAATGGCTGCTTATCATATTTCTCAATATTTCAAATTGTAATCAATACTCTGCCAACGTAAATCAACCGTTAAAGGTTAAATTCATACTAACATCGATCAGCCGTAATTGGGACGTTGAACTGCATACATTGTCACGAATTGTCCGTTTCTTAAATACCCATCAAAATAATATTATACTTTTCAGCAACGCGTCCCACTAACTGATATTACATTAATGGAATGAAAAATGAAACTTAGTTTAAGAACAGTTTTTTCTTAGTCAATATTGAACATTACGGAACGATGCAACTCGAGACCAATGATCTAAGTTCTAAACGCACTCATAAATCCGTATTTGTTAGCAATCAGCCTATGTGAATGAAACAATAATTTAGCTATAAGTTTAACCAATTTATGAACAGATTTGTAAGAAATATTGCATTCGATCGTTCAAATTACACAAATGAATGTCTTTGAAGCATTCCTCTAATCCGGCATCAATATTTCAAAACATGCAACAAATGCAAACTAGTATAAAGTCAATTCATCGCGATGTTACATGGCATCTGCTAGCCTATATAGGAGCAAGAAACTAAAAATAGCATCCACAATGCGAGAAGTAGCGTTAAAATAAATTACAAATTTTTGAATGCAAAAGATAGCAGCAATCTACTTCCTACTGTCCTATTGCTTCGCATATGCTAAGAGTTACTATTATATTCCCTTTTGACACTAAAAAACGTCAAAAATGTAGGAAAACACTAGTAGTCAATATCAATTAAATTAGACTTGCTGGTTATGAACTTAGAGCGAGTGTTCTTCAGATGGATCAGTAGAGGAACTGGCGCCCATAGAAAGGTATCGCTGTTTCCTGCCCTCGCCTCTGTCCCGGGCTCCAGTCAAATTCAAGCTAATCACTTTGTTGATGTCGTGCACTGTTGCTGATCTGCAGTGTGGCGACATCATGACAGCTTCTGTGGGACAAAACGAGATTGCTATAGGAGAATGACATTGATATTGTGCTAAATTATATATAAAATTCAAGTTATGCATTTCTATATTAGGTTTCGATATAGTCCCGCGTAGCACAAATAACTACAAGATTACCGTATTTCACTTAATATCATTTTTTAACTGCAGAAAATAAAATTGTTTTCAGGGCTCGCAAACTTTATTTTAAGCATAACTTTCATGAAACTTACCAACAATGCACTGATGAGCTTTCAACGCCTTGAATGCTCGTTTCTTCTTTCCTTCTAAACTGAACTTCATGGCCAAGTTCTTGCTTAACAGCGCTCGCATGGTGTTGTGTATGACAGTGGTAAATTTTGACCCTCCAACGAGCGACAGATGATGTATCAAACGATTTTTTTCCTCTACAACGCTTAAAGTTTCCTCGAGGGCGTTGATGTCGTCAATGCTGTTCAGTGGGAGTTTAGGCAGCTTTGAATCCTCTATAGGTAAATTTTCGGTTTTCTTGTTGCAT